GCGTGCGGAGGAGGTTTTGAAATCCATCTTTGGTGACCGTGTTAACAGACACCATGTCTTTGGCAATGTAGTGCGTTATCGCAGTCGTTATCTCCCGGTGTCTTCGGCTGCTCTTGTCATACGGAGTTACACTGGCAAACGATGCTGTAATTGTAGTCTGTTTACTACTATGGCCTTGAGCATCACTCTCACTAGACTTTTCACCGGGCTTTTTTGTCATACACTCGTCATGCAAATGCTTGTGGTGATTTTTCAAGTGCTAGTATAAGTTGGTTGTGTTTCCACTGGATGTTGCAACTTTTGCTCAACAGGTTTTGCACAGTACCTGTTTCTGGTGGATGTCTGCGGCCTCAAACCCAAAATACTGCCAAATGACCGACGTGCTGCTTTTCTTGGGGATTAAATTCCCTAACTCCACTTCTGGCTCCGCTGAAGCCATTTCAAAACGTGTCCCCGAGTTGTTTGTTTACTGAGAGTGTGTGCGCCGTCGCGGCGTTTTCTGTCCTGGACAATGGCCGCTTCTGATTGGTGAGCGTGGCTTGCACGAGGAGCAGGCTGATACTGATTGGTTAGCGTGATCTGTCCACGAGTAGCATGCTGCTTCTGATTGGTGAGCTCGACGGTAGCCTATGTGTGAAAAAGTTGACACAGCAGATCCTGGGTCAGTCAGGAGCGCTGCAAAAAACCGCAGCTTTCACGATCACACAATCGCATTATCTGAAATCGCAATTTCGATCAGAAAACGATAAATCGTTCAGCCCTAATATGAACGTTGCACAGTATTAAGATTAACTGTGAGTTAATGTTTTTTTTTTTTTTTGATAATGAATATTGTGTTGTGGTAATTTTATTTTTCTATTTGGAAAGTCAAGGAATCATAAATGTGTGCAAGATAAAGTTTTAGGGAACTTTGTTTCCCTTTGGAAGTCATGCCACTTTACTGTAGATGTTTGGTATTATTTAACCACTGTTGTCCCATTTACCATTTTCATCAGCAGCAGAGGCTTCAGATGAGAGAGCAACCTTGCTAGCCTACAAGACAGCAGTTGCCTTCCCAGTTAGACTTTCGGAGCCTAGAGTTTTCCCAACACAGGCTCTAGGTTTAACCGAACCACTGGCCAGCCCCACTGCCACTGCACACTCAGTTGTAGCTGCAACAGCTGCAGCGCCTGTCACTGCTGCCAGTGAACCACCTGTAGTTGAGCCAGAAGCAGCAGAGGCTCCAGCTGCTGACCCAGATGTTGCTCAGGTTATCATTGCCACAGCTCCACCTGTAGTTGACACAGCTCTCCCAGCTGCTGAGCCCCTGGCTGATGCATGCAATAAAATCTCAGCACCAGACGACACTCCAGTTTCAGCCTCTGCAACAGACAATGCAGTCCCACCCGCTGCAGCCTCGTCTGAGCCTGGTGATCAAGCAGCTGACGGATCATCCTCTTCAACGTCCAGTGACTCAGACTCTGACTCTGACTCTGAGGATGAGGATGAGCCCAAGACCTCACCAGAGGTGTCAAAATCCTTTGTGAAAGAAGAAGCAGAAGACCAGGCGGTCACATCAGAAGTGAAGGAAGATACTAATGAAGCTAAGAAGGAAGTTCCACCAGAATCTGAAGCTATTCCTGCCTTTGCTGCTAAGGCTGTACTGCTGGCCACTCCAGCAGCAGCAGCGGCCACAGAGGCCATTGTCGAAGCACCCATTGTTAGCTCTGAGGAGTTAGTAGACCCTGCACCTGAGATTTGCACTGGCACAGAAGACCATGTGGCTTGCCCAGAAGTTTCAACTGAAGCTGCACTGGAACCCCTTCCAGAAATAATAGAAGATGTTGCATCTCCTGCCATCCCCGATGCCCAAGTAGAAACCCCAGCTGAAGTTGTGACTGAGGCTGCAACTCCAGAAAAAGCCCAGACTGACACTCCTGTAGAAATCATAGAGCCTGCCCCCACTGAAGCCCCTGCAAAAGCTACTGAAGCTGTCCCTGTGGAAGCTACCCCAGGGCCTGTAGACACTGAAGCTACCTCTGCTGAAGCTGCTGTAGGGCCTGCAGAAGCTGAAGCTGCCCCTGCTGAAGCTGCTGTGGAGTCTGTAGAAGCTGAAGCTTCCCCTGTAGAAGCAGAAGCTGCTCCTGCTGAAGCTGCTGCAGAACCTGTAAAGGCCCCTGGGGAGAGCACTGAGGAGCTGGTTGACCTTGCTCCAGTCGTTGCTGAAACTGCTGCAGAGCCTGTAGAAGCTGAAGCTGTCCCCACTGAAGCAGCAGCTGAAGTTTCTGTCCCTGTGGAGAGCACAGAGGAGCTGGTGGACCCTGCTCAAGTCGTAGCTGGAGCTGCAGGAGAGGAGCTGCAGGTGGAGGCCCCAGTTGAACCATCTGAGGGTACACACTACACCACCCTATTCCCCAAATCTCTGCCTCTCCTTTTCCTGTTTGTGGATTTTTGAACCCCTACAGATGACCATACTTTTCTATCCTTCATAACACATTTTGTTTACTGTTAGCATGTTTTACCAGGTTTCAGCTCCCTCACATACAATGGTTGCTGTTGCTTTCACAGCTTTTATAATATCATCTCTGGATTCTTCTAAATAACCTCTTGTTTTGCCTCTGTTCCATCACTGTGACATCTAACCTCCCATCATCTGAGTTTTCACTGTGGTTGCTTTGCATGAGGTGGATTACTTTGCTTTTCATTACATCTCTTTTTCTTGGCATTTCTGCATTTTGCTATTTGTTGAAGATTTCTTTTGCTTGCATTCTGCTTATTGATGTTTAGACTTGTCTGTCTTTGACCCACCCACTCAACTCTGCTGTGGCTGTCAATGTACAATCAAGGTGATGTTGCTTGTTGCATACATAGACAATAATCTGCTCATGTTTCTGTTTTCTTACCCTCTCTTGGCGTCTCAGGAATCCACCACCTATCTTTACTTTAAAAATCCTCCACAAAGTCAAATCCATCTTCACTCCCAAAATATTCCTCACATATTGAACTCTTTTTGATATATTGCTCACTTTGGCTCAGTTCTTGTCATTTATAATGTCTCTGTTTGTATGAAATATGGTTTACAGGTTTTCTAAGTTAATGTTAAAGTTACAGGTGCCATTGTTTGGATGCTTTGTGCCAGGTAATGGTATTGCTAATTGTAATGTTAGAGTGCACATGGTGGTATTGTCTTACAGTGAAGACGTGTCCCTGACAGCAGCTGGACGAGTAGAAGCTGGGAGTGGTTGGAGTCAGCGAAAGTATTTCTGGAAGCAGGATTACACAGTTACCAAGATGTATGAAACATCATTAGATCATTGTCATGAAATGAGTACTGTCCAGCTGATTAGCAGCTACCAACCAATGATTACCAGTGGAACGTGCATGGAGCTACAGCTCTTTGTTACACTTTTTGGCCCAACATTTCTCTGACCAACTGTGTAATTATGCTTCCTGGAACAACACCCTCACCTTGGTCATTAATTTCACCAGTTGTTCATTACTGTCTTTCTTTAAACTTTGCAAGCCTGTTTTTCACCCAAAAGCCATTTGGATAAGCCTGGTGTCAATTAATGAAAATGTAAATGTGTCTTAAATGTATTTCTTTGTGAGTGTGGATGTCAACATGTTATAACCGTACTGTGGCAGCATGCTAAGGGTTTTTTAAGACAGATTAAGTTATAAAAGTAAATGAAAGAACATTATGCACGACTGTTTAATCAAAACAATCAAAGCCAACACACTATGATTTTGACTTGTTGCCCTTTATAAAATCCATTTCATGCGTGTCTCTGCCAATATCACTATTTCTCTAGCTCTGCTAAGCACACTGATGTTTATTTTTTTCCTTCACAAACATGATCCTTGAGGCTTTTCACACCAGTGTGTCTCCACACTGTAGGGGGTAATGTGGCCTACCACCATAGGAAATGCCGCACCATAAACCACCTTTGTCAGCATGTGAGAATATGTAAATGTCCTGTTCCTTCAAAAATCTTTTCAAATATTTACAAAGCCACGTTTTTGTTCTAGTTTTACAGCTTATCAGAAATGTCTAGATCAAGTTTTAATTACAGCTTTCGTTACTGAAAAATGAGTGACAGTGACAAAAGTACAGAATTAGACCCAGTATTACATTTGGCTAACCTTGTGCTATTTATGTTTTAATGCATTAACAGCAGGAATATTTGTATACTTACCTTTCTACCAGACTTGGCTTTCTTACATGCCTTTTTGTTTTCTTGCCCTCCTTCTGCAGAGGCTGCAGTAGCAGCACCTCCTGAGCCTGATGAGCCTTTTGACAACAGCACTTATAAAAACTACCAGCACCACAGCTACACCCCCTACACATTTGCAGACCTGGATGTAGAGATGGCCAAGTTTCGTCTCCCGCAGCCCTCCTCCCTCAGACACTAAAGGAGCTGGCCTGGTTGCAAACCTTTATGTTGCGTCAAGATGATGGTGATGGTGTCCTCCCTCCTTATGATGATCATCCCCTTAACCTGTCAGCTCTGCATGAAATTCTGGTGTTAAACAGTTATATTATTAAAGTACACAAATGAGAAATGAAGTCTGTTTTTTCCTGGTGTGGTTCTGTTTTGTCTTATATAAAGGAATAGGCATATAAAGGGGTAGGCAAAGATCAAACACTTTTTTATGCTGCTTTTCTGCCTCAGGGGGTCATTGGAATAGAGCTGAGTGTGCATGTGGTTTATCTGTGTTTTTAATTTTAATTATCACAATTTCCACTCCCTTAGCCTGCACATAATGTCCTGATTATCCTAGCTATATGCATGTAGGCATCTGTCGTTATGTTTGTGTATTACTGTGTATATGATGAGAGAATATGAGACAATAAAGGAGTGCAAAGCTGGAGATATACGTAGAAAATGTGTTGTGTAAATGGGGGCACTGAATAGAAAACAAAAAAATCAGGAGGGCACAGAGGGACAGGCAGCCAGACGTCATATCTCCGCCCATCTCATAAATATTCATAAGTCGAGCGCCCCTGCGTGCCCTTACGCGATGACGCAACGCGACAACTGCGGGTCCCGATTGCTGCAGCCGCTTGTCAGTGTGACGAAGATTGGCACTCAGGTAAGCTGTCACTCAAAATCCCTCTTTTTCCGTTCCCTATCAATCAAACAATCTGGGCCGCACGCAAAAATGCCCCGGGGCGAGGAGCGCGGACCTAGTCAGGGCAGCGGAGAGTGTTTTTGGAAGGGAAGGAGAAACGGCAGAGCTCTGGGAAGACTAAAAAAATCTGTATACAGGGGAGGGGGGGTAAAAAATATGTCGGCGTTTTGGGGGCAGAGGAGGATTGTGGAAAAGCAAAGGGCGAGAGCTAGAAACGAGGCCCGACAGTTGTAACGTTAGCGCTGAAGGGAGGGGAGGGAGAGGGCAGCTGTCCCCGTTTGATTGATTGATGTAGGAAGGATTTGAGGATCAACTGGGCTAGCCTGGTGTGCAGCCAATGCTTCTTGATATCATTGCAGCCGAATTAATGTATACAGCTGACAAGAAATGCATATTCATTTAAAATGTTAATTCAAAAATGCCAAAGCTCTCGAAGCTGTTTTGTAATAAGGGCAAACGACTCGCTTTGTATCAATCCGCAGCGGGGTATTTTCTTGTACCTGGCTAGCTAAGTTAGCTTGTTTTTTTGGCAGCAATAGCCCTTGCTAAATATGGCGCATCACATTTGGCCTCACCGTATCAGCATGAGAAACACTTTCAAGTTAACAGTTAGCTACCTTACTAACGTTAGCTGTAACTCGACCGGACGTTTGCTCTTTTGGGTTAACCTTAGAGTCCGCGAGCTAACGCCAATGTGGCGTCAACGTTACAGGCTAGCTAAACATTGTGGAAAAACAAGGCTTAATCGGCGCCGAGCTGCTTTGTCTGCAAAACACACTATAACGTTATTGTAGTTAACGTTAGAGGATATCTGGCTAATGTTTGCCCAAAGGCTTTCTTAAAGTTTTCTCTCCCCCATTGCCACCACAAACGGTGGGCAGCTAACACAAGGCTAAAAGCTAAGTTAATCGTGGTGGGTGTGTTAAAGCAGTTGCAGGGTAATGATAAGCTCACTATTATTTTAACAACGCAGCTTGGCGTCGGTGTATAAATCGCCTTTTGTTTTCTGAGAGTGTTTTAAACATAAACTTTCACGAATGTCTACGAGATATGTCGAAATAAATTGGTAAATGCAGACCCTCCATACAACGTTTGCGTACTCTTACTTTTCCTGACGGTGACTCTTCATCCCCTTGTTTTGCCCAGACGTGTGTGTAACATTGTATCAGCACCAAACATTCCAAATTCGACTTTTACATCATATTTTTATGGATCATTACTTCTGCTTTTGTCCTTCAAACGCTTAACTTGTCATTTTGTGTTATATCTGAGGAAACATTTGATCATAAGTGTTGGTGTATAAGGCTTAACCAACATCAGTTATTTGTAAATACGATTGTTCATTCTCCCTTAATCAAATGGGCCCAGTTTACAAAGCTAATGACAATCTTTAATTCTGATATCATGACGATTACATGATACAAAACTTGTGTGCCTACACTTCAGGCATCTCTTCCAGGTAGTCTAACTGAGACTATGTGTATTGTGTAGGTTGGCCGCCTGTCCGTGCTATTTATAATGCCCCAGTGTTTGCAGCATCTGCAGTGAACGTGATGGCAGCCCAGTCGGTTTCCATAGACAAGTATCCAAAGGGAGAGCAGCAGGTGGGTGAGAGGAAATTTGCTTTGGACCTCAAGGCCAACACAACTTGCTCCAACTGGCTGAACTGCACGTTTTTGCTTGTTTGCCAAAGTTAGTCACAACAGTGAACACGTATAGCCTTTATAATAACAACATCGACATGTGTCAGGCTACAACTGTCAGTATTCTGCGTTCTTTGTCCATGGATCCTCCAGTTATTTTTAGGGTGAAATGTCAGCCTGGATTGTCAAACAAAGGGAAACAATTTACGCATGTAACACTAGAACATAGGCGATGTTAATGCTATTACATCAGTTTTGGTAATCTGTTGGCAGTGTGTCTGTCTGTCTGTGGCAGGCCACCACAAATAAATCACTGTAGGAGAGACACTGATGCAGTATAAAGCTCTTTTTCTGGCCAGTATTTCTGTGTCTGAGCTATGTAAATTGCTTACAAAACATCAATTTGGGGGTGTCGAGAGCTGAGAATGATCTATGACTAATGAGACATTTTCCACCCCAAGCAAGTGATTATTTTTAGCTACTTTGCACTCAATCTCATTCATTGTTGGTCCCAGTCACATGGTTGGGGATGGGATATATACTACTGGAAGGGTGGGCAGGCACGGTGTGAAAATGTGTTAGACTTGGCTTCCAGTCAATGAACTGGAGCGTTGTTTAGGCTACAGTAACATTTTAATGTGTAATTTTATTTACATTAAGTGACGTGTGTGTACATGCAGGTTGTGAATTATATTCTCAGTTGCAATAAGATCACCAGATAAGTAGTGTTGATTCTTTGCATTTGGAACCTAACACTGTGAGGATGTAGTCTAGCGAAAGTGTGCTTCTGAAGCAATGCCAAGGGACCTGAGGGCTTGAAAGAATACAGACACGTATGTTATTGCATCTGTCTACAGTAGATGCGTAAATGCTATTTTCAGGTCAAAAGTATTAGAGTGCAGCAAGAATAAACTGTCTCAATCAGGTGAGTGTAATCAAGGAGTGCTGGCGATTGGCAGTGGCCTGAACAGACTAACAACTTATGACACAATCAGTAGTTTTTTCTGCCTTGTGTTTTATCACAGTTAAGAAGTCTTGCCATACTCATTTAAAAGAATAAATTCAGTCTTGTATGAAAATGCATAGTTATGAAAGTGGTTTTCATACCATGTACTCATGACTTTCCAAAGGGTTTATATTGAAGCAAGGCTCTGTGTTAAGCTTTGCCCTCCGGCTGCTCTTGATCTTCTTATGATGTCTTTGTCTCTCATTCTCTGCCTTTCACCTCACCTCTTCTGTCAGCTTATGTCTCTGTGTTTTTGTCACTGTGTTGCTTTCTTTTTTATCACTTATCTGTTTTTCTCATTTTTTCTGCAGATGCAAGGTGTGGTAAAGGTAGACATCGAGTCTGAGCACAAGTTTATTGAGGGGACACTGGCAGAGGCATCTAGCCCAGCACCCACAGAGCCACAGACACCCATGGACGCGGACAAGGCCTCCATATATCGGTAGAGCTAATTCTGCATGTGTTTGATAATGAGAGAGGACAACAACACCCTTCAATTCTGAAATATTTGTCCTCCTCTGTCCTTTCTGGACTTCCTTTCTTTCAGATTGGCTAGAAACTATCCTATCACTAGGAAGCGAAGTCCTCCCATTTGTTCATGTGACTTTAATATTGATCTCTGGTTTTTAAAATGTGAAACGCTGTGTATTTTTGTTTTCTGGTGCTTTTTTTGTTGTTGTTGGGTTTTTTTTTACACTACCCATTAACAGTCTAAACAAGGCCTACAAACAAGTCACATAGTCTCACAAAATGTGAGTATTATTGAGTAATAGTAATCTATCAGGGCATTGCATTTAAGACTGGAGAGTCATATTGCTGTTGTCTTTGATCATAATAGATATACATTAGATAAAAAAAACTATGATCAGGTATATAGCAGGTTACCTTCACTTCACTTTTACATGCTTGGGTATATGTCAGAACCCTTAATGCTTCTTTATTTTTATTTTTTTTCCTTTTTGCAAACCACGTTCTATTACTGGGCAGAAAGAATAATATGATCTTTGAAATTAGTGTACAGTTTAGCAACTTTTTCTATCCACACTTCTCATAGGCATCCCCTGTTCCCTCTCTTGGCCCTGCTGTTTGAGAAGTGTGAACAGTCCACACTGAGCTCTGATTGCATCACCTCGGCGAGCTTTGATGTGGACATTGAGAACTTTGTCCGCAATCAGGAGAAGGAGGGCAAACCTTTTTTCAGCGAGGACCCTGAACTTGACAATTTGGTGAGATACCTCTGCTTGTCAGGGGTAGTAATTCTCAGATTTATGGTTGTTGCTTTTCTGTTGTTTGTTTTTTATTCCTTCAAGCATTTTGGTATAGGATGATTTTTTCTACTGTTACACACTGCTCTGGCCCATAATTCACCTAAATATTTCAACTATTTCAGTAGTGAACTACACTCTTGATTTTTTTCTTCAACTTTACACAGGTTTAAGTCAATGCTGTAAGACTTTTGTTATGCACATTTAAGACAAACTTTTTTCTCAAATTTTGGTTGCAGATTAATGTTAGTGAGTTTAACTGAGTTTAACGTTAGTGATCTTTAACTGGCGTATTTCAGCCTCAACCAATAGCAAAGAAGTTTGTGTTCAGGAGACATTGATTGTTGAT